TACCTCCCTGTGGCTCGATCAATGGATAGAGTCGTTAGAGGCACAGCGCGAGGCCAATTTATTCACAAAGATGGTTACACCTGAATATCTCCATTCACACCATGTGTTGAACAATCTACCTAGTACAAGGGAGGAACATGTAACCCGGTTACTACAACGAGGCTGGTCAACAAACAACTAGAATGAACATCCTAACATAAGCCAGCTTACACTCGATTTGAGGCGATTCGAACGCTGGTGGCTGTACATCAGTACAAAAGGGTACTTAATTATGATAGATTTGCGTTAAATGCTTACCACGAGCAGCATCAAGAGAAAAGTTAAAACCGTGGAGGGAGGCTTCGGGGGCGAAATGCCACTCTACAGTTTAGCTTTGGCAATCACGGAAGACTGTTCATTTCAGCGTTGGGCCAACAAGACATTTAGATATGCGATGTGCGACATGCATCATGAGTTGGCAGGCCCTTACATGCTCACTGTGGAGGGTCGTTGGTTGCAAGATTGGTGCATGCATTCACTAGCAAAAAGGCTCTTGTCTGCGCAATTAGAACACGTCATTAGTGGTAGGCCACTGTGGTACATGCATCACTAGCGGAAAGCCCTGGTCTGTGCGAATTCAAACATGCATCACTAGTGGTAGGCCGCCCCGTGTGTGCTCGAAAGTCCCAAAAGGAATGGCCCTGCGTGCCAGTAATGGTGATCTTGGAAATGCCCAAGTTGTATCCGAGACATGCAAGGGAGCACGCAACGGATTTAGTGGTAGGCCACCACATGTCTATCTACTCGAGGCTTTCGAGAACGACACAAAGCTGCAGCAAAAGAGACTAGCCTTGACATAGCGAGAGAACCAATCAACACAAATTTCACAGTCATTCTCTCTTTTCTCTTGGGCCGCTCCTTCGTTCGGTTTTGCTGTGCATTCGCGAGCCAACGCCAGCTTCTGTTGGGACGGCACGGTTCCGATGGCTACCTGGGTGGCCCGCCCATCTGGGTTTATTCAAATACCGGAGTCACAGCAGACCACTGGAGATAAGCAAGCACAAGATCTTCTTCCCAACCCTCCTATCCATTATTCATTTTGCACCGATGAGCGAAGCAATCAAGTCGCTCACCGCGCAGGGCCTGGAGCAGCTGTGCTCCGAGGAGCAGCTGCAGCTGCTCAACGCGGTGGACTCGCTGCGCTCCCAAGGCATCAGCCACTACATCTCGCTGCCGCAAATCATCGTCTGCGGCGACCAGTCCTCGGGCAAGAGCTCCGTCCTCGAGAGCATCTCCGGTGTCCCCTTCCCCACCAAGAGCAGCGTGTGCACCCGCTTCCCGACCGAGCTCATCCTCCGCAAGACGGCCTTTCCCTCCATCAACGTCTCTATCGTGCCGCACCACTCCTGCAATGACGCGGATAAGGATTCCCTGTCCAACTTTCGCGAAAGGCTGCTCGACTTCAAGGACCTGCCCGCCCTGATCGAGAGCGCCAAGCTGGCCATGGGAGTCATGACCATGGGCAAGGCCTTCTCCGAGGACATCCTGCGCATCGAAGTCAGCGGTCCCGATCGCCCGCACCTCACCATTGTGGACCTTCCTGGTCTCATTCACTCCTCAAATAAGCACCAGTCCGCCTCGGATATTGACCTCATCAACAATGTTGTCCAGCGGTACATGAAGGAGCCTCGAAGCATCATCCTCGCTGTCGTGTCCGCAAAGAACGATTACGTCAACCAGATTGTTCTGAAACTCGCGAGCAAGGCCGACCCTGAGGGAAAGCGGACCCTGGGCGTCATCACGAAACCAGACACTCTAATCCCGGGATCTGGAAGCGAGCGCGATTTCATCTCCCTGGCTCGGAATCAAGACGTCGAGTTCCGCCTGGGCTGGCATGTCTTGAGGAATCGGGACACGGAGGCGGACCAGGAAGGGTGGACCTTTGAACAGCGTGATGCCGCCGAGCTGCAGCTTCTGTCCTCTGGTGCCTGGGCGGGCCTTTCAGTACAGAACGTGGGCATTAAATCTCTGAGGACCCGTCTGAGTAAAGTACTCGTGCGGCAGATTTCTTCTGAGCTCCCAAGCCTTATTGACGAAATCACTAAGTTGTCTGCCGAATGCCAGAAACGCCTCCAGAAGCTCGGTTTGCCCCGTAACACCATTTATGAACAGAGAATGTATCTCATCCAGATTAGCCAAGCCTTTCAAGCCTTGCTTCAGGCTGCGGCCAATGGTGCGTACAACGACTCATACTTTGGTAATGCTATGTCTTCGGTCGGCTACCAGAAGCGTCTCCGAGCTGTGGTTCAGAGTCTGAATCGAGGCTTTGCGGCAAAAATGGCCTTCGATGGCCGGCGATACGAAGTTGTAGAGGACGGCGAGGAAGTTGGGTCGGAACGCCACGGCCACCTGACTCGAGACCAATACATTGAAAAAATTGTTTTGGTAATTCAGAAAGGTCGAGGTAGAGAACTACCTGGTATGTTCAACCCAATGATTGTTACGGAGCTATTCAAGGAACTCTCATCGCCGTGGGGAAAGATTGCCGAGGACCACGTCCTGGAAGTGTGGAAAGCGATTCGGCTGTCGTTGAACCACCTCGTCACTCACGTCGCCGACTCCACTACGGTCAACTCGATCTTGGCCGGCGTCTTTGAGCCGCATCTGGATTCCTTGCTGAAGGTCCTGCGCGAAAAGCTCTCTGGGCTGCTGAAGCCACACCGAACCGGCCACCCCATCACCTACAACCACTACTTTACGGAAGCTCTACAAAACATCCGCAAGGAGCGTGAAAAGTGCAGACTTGCCGCATTGATACAGGAGGAATTTGGGGCGGTTTCTTTGGTATCCAAAACCTCGATCAGCAGAACGATGGACTTTGGGCAGTTTCTTGAGCGACTGCTTGATCCGCGGGAGGCAGATATGGATCATTTTGCCGCTTCTGACGCACTTGACTGCCTGGATGCCTACTACAAGGTAAGACACCATCACGCGCCTATGGCAGCTTGAAGCTAACCAATGTTCGACTAGGTTGCTATGAAGTGATTTATAGACGACGTCGCGGTCGAGGTCATCGAGGTTTGTCTATTGGGCAAGCTGAACGAAATTATGGATCCGACGTCCATTTTCACGATGAAGGACGCTGACATCACCCGAATTGCTGCAGAGACGGAAGAGAGTCGTGCGGCACGTGCGGAGCTCGAGACGAAGCTGAAAGTCCTCAGCAACGGAAGTCAAATTTGCAAGACATTTGCAACACTCTATGTCAATGGTAAGGCTGGTGTCCTGTCAGGTCGAGTGTATTCTAACATTCTATAGTCCTGGACAACGAAAACGAGAGCAGCGACAACACGACCGATCGACTCAGTGATACTGGAAGCGAACAGTCTGCCACTGGTTCTGTAGCAACAGCGGGGAGCGATGTTGACCTAGCCGATAGCTCTGCTCCTGAGGCTGTACTGGCTGATGATCTGATCTATGAGGCGGAGCAGGTAGTTGAGCAGCCTCATACCGAGTCGACTCCTGAATCGGTGGATGATGTGTGGGGTGGTGTTTCACGCAAGAGCAAGAAGGCTAAGAAAAATCAGAAGAAAAGGGCAGTGTTCGATAAAGCAAAGCTCGTTGAGGCAGAACCTACCCTTGAGGACGACAACTTGTCCATTACTTGGGGCAGGAAGACGAAGTAAACGGAAAGAAGTCATCGTGTAGCTTTCTGTTGCAGAACTGTCATGGACAGAAAATCCAATGTTGATTGGCCGCACAGTTTCTGTTGTTTTGGCAAAATTGTAGTAGAATGCGATGCATCGATCGATGCGCACCGGTCTATTATTATATCTGAGGTGATACCATCTATTCATCAACGCTGGCCTGCCACGTAAAAAACGGTGCTTAGCGTAGGGCGGCTAGACGGCGTGGATCTCTATCCGGCGATTACATTGGCCGCCGTTGGTCGTATGATGAAAGCGTGTGGGGTGTTTCCAGAACGATCGAAGCTATGACCGGGACGCGCCATTGTGGAGCGGCCTTGAGCACAATCATCATCGCAGCAGGCTCCGCACCTGCTAGCACCGTAATCGTACATTCGGCAAGGGTCCACCGCATACGTTTTGTGGCCATGCTGGCAGGTTATTATCAGCGAGTATAATAGTCCAAGCCAAGCTGGGGGTTCTTCAGGAAGAGGGGTTTAATATCCTCTCGAGCACCACCACGAGCATTCCCAGGAAACCTCTTGCAGGGCAGCGCTTCACCCATCCTACCAACATCGAGTTCTGGCGGGCCGCATGCATTGACTCTCTCCGAAGACTGGCATAGTGACGACATGAATGATAGCTGCACGAATATTGCGGATGGCTTTGGCCTGCTCATGGTGTCACCAGAACCTTCCCCGCTGAATATTTCATGCACAGCTTGAGAGGAGTCTTGCACCCGGCTTGCTAATCCCAGTCCTCATTCGCTCTTACGGAACAGTCGAGAGCCTTGACCCCGAGGACTGGATTATCTCCAGTGCTATGCATTAGTTCACTCCTTATATTTATATAACGAGAAATATATCACATTCCTCTGAAGGCGGTACACATTACCGCAGGCTGGTTTGTCGGTATACCTCATACCACGCTGGAATCTGATCGTCTGCATAATCCCAGTCCGGCGGTCGCTGAGTTCCACAGATTTCGGTCAGAACACCACGGGAAGTTACAGAAAACGAGCGTGATGTGCGCGGTATTTTGAACATCTCGATTCTGGTCCAATGCTCCAGCCGCTTATTCACCAGGACTGAAAGATGCCCACTGTGAACTGATAGTAAAGTGACGGTGAATCTAACTTGCCCACATGCAACGCCATTTCCTCGCTCCAATGTATTTGAAGCGGGCCCTTCTTGCTGGATTGCGCACTTTTTACAGATACATCGAATGCTGCATGCTCGATGACGTAGTCGGGTGTGCAACCTGCCGAGCTTATATGTGGAGCTCTTCAACAGTCTCACTGTCCTTCTTAGCGGGGCCACAAGTCGCCGAGGTAAGCAGTCAGCGCTGATGCAACACATCTGTTCAGAATGTGGCCGCGGTTGTACGAGATGCGCCAGGCTAAATGCGTAGTAATGCGCTTAAGGGACGCGCCACCGTAGGCGACGCCACCGTTGTATCGGCAACTTCTGGCCAAGCTCGCGGTTGTCGATAGGCCGCCTTCCACTTGACGTCTACCCGACGTCCAGTGTAGTCCACCCCGGGTGTGGGGCGGAATGGTGGTCCTTCTCGTTGAGCGGCCATTCTTAGTAAAATGGCACTCTCTACTTAATGCTACCGTAAAAACCGAAATGGGTGTCGCGGGTGAGCACCTACATAACAAGTTTAGTGAGGTGCGGCCAAAAATAGCTTGTACCTTCGAAGTACCTTTTTGTCTGCTCTTAACCGGGCTTAACGGCTGGTTGCCGCTTAATGTTCTACCAAATATTGCACCCAACACCCAAGTCATTATTCCATATAGCACTGAGGCTCTGAAAGGCATGAAAAGGCATCTTTCTCTGGCTTTATCACGTGGCCTGAATCAGCTGTCTCAGAGCACCTTCCCCATTTATTAATTGGCCCCTTGGCTAGCCAGGCACTATTATGCATCTCAGCCCTGGTGTACCCATATTTTTGTGGGAATTACCACCGGAATTGGTGGCAATCAAGCGTTCCTACAGTGGGTGGCAACAAGTATTCGACCCCTTCGTGGTAGCTTTTTCCAAAACCTACTAACCTAAATAGGGCAATTACATGCCGCTTTTTAGTTATTCGGGTAGGGCTAGGATCATCCCCTGTAAGTCCACTGTAACTGCATTATAGTTGGGGTTAGTGCTTGCCTGATTAAAGCAGCAGCATCTTATCCGTCTTCTTTAGGCTAGGTACCATGAAGGGGTCAGATACTTGTTGCCACCCACTGTAGATCTCTAGGTCAATAGTCTGAGCGTCGACACTATTTAAAAAAAACCCCTAAAATTCAATCTTAACGACTTTTCATTCAAATTTCTATAATACGGCTTGGAGCAAATGATCGCATATTCATGGCGATTTGAGTAGGGGATGATGAATTAGCTACGGAAGCCCATGGATAGCTGTGAAAATTAGCATAGAGGCCGCGGTGTCCACACTCGCTGGTACTTGCTGTGCGAGACCAGATGGACTCCCTGAGAGACAGAAATTCCAACGTAAATGCCACTGCAACTTCTACGGGACCATTCACACTGCTGCGATTGGTTGACTGGCAACCCGACAGTCAATGTGATAGAAGCAACAATTTCTTCTATATCTATTACAATTTTGTATGGAAAATGCCCCTCGGTGAAAATATTCAACGGCGGCCGACTACCAGAAAGATCGGCCAGAAGATCTTTTCCCTGCTCTGAGTAATTTCTGGCAAGAAACATGGTTGGGTTTCGTCGCGGCTACATGACCCTCCTTGGGTCTGTATTAAGGGTGTCTACCAGAATCCATCTTTCGAGGTGAATAAAATATAACGAGCACCACAATATTTATATCATATGCAAATCTTTTTATTCCCAAGGATGCCACGTCACTTCGGTCTACCGGACGCTGTCTTTGATGCCGTAGCGGATATACAATGCCTGAACAAGATGCCCAGGCTCGGGTTTAAACGAACCATGACATCGTGGGCATATCGCTTGACGGATCCAACCTGTGAAATCAGCTATAGGCGAGCTTCCCCCACATAAGGGGCACGTCACTCCAAATTCGAAAAGGGTTGGATAAGTCGTGGCATGGCGACAAACTTCAGCATCGACGCGTGCGTGATAAGCCGCAATCTCCGAGCCGAGAAGATCGGTCTCATGCCACCAAAGATCATAGAAACGCATTGATCCCCTGCAGGATGCCAGGACTGAGTGGTCGGTCACAGAAAACATGCCGTTCACTCCCCACTTGCTGCCCCAAGAATTCAGAAATGTAAGGCTGTGAGGGCTGCAGCCAGTCAAGACAACCGCATGGCCACCGTCCGGTTTCCCTGAATGATGCATCTCCATATGACTCTTGTCGAGAACAAGGTATTTTGTTTTTTCGTCACTGAAATGCTCTCCGAACTTCTGCCATCCGGTCTTCGAGAGTGAAAAAGTAGCGAGCACAGGGCGACGGAGGAGTAGTGCCTGACGTGCACCGTCCTCCCCTTTTTCAGAGTATTGAACAATCGGACGATACCACCTCTTTGTGGTCAATTTATCTAATACTTCTTTGACCGGCCAGCCGTCTTTACTTTCAGGGAAGTCAACCAGAATCCTTTCACGAATTTCCAAGACGCTCGGAAGCCCACCCTGGAGTGCGTAAATTCGTGAAAGTGCCATATGGACGACTGCGGCGATGGCGTGGGCATAGCATGTCCCCGAGTCGAATTGGTTCGTAGGATTAGAACGCGTCCTCACATGGACGTCATTCACGATAGAGTCGATTTGAACTCGGCCAATGATGTCGAACAAGGTATCCGCTGAGCCAAACCTTGCAGAGAGCAGTGCAGAACAAAACGCCTCTAGGACCGTAGCAGAGCACAACTCGACATAGAGAGCAACCTCGTTGGAAGATGGGAGCTGCCATCCCATAGAAGCAAGGACTGGTATGGGATGGAGATTACAGGGGATTCTGCTGGCCAGTTGAAAGAGGGTCCGCTGCCCCTTATCCCAATGCGACCGTTCGCGATTATGAAGCTTGTATCGGAATTGCTGAGATGCACTTGTAAGATGTACTACTGCCAAGGCCACTCTGTGTTTCTCATTCTTTGGCGCGGTCATGCCTTGGGCAGTTCCTATTGGGCTAGAATCGGTCCACAGGCCATCCGACACCACAAGGAGCATCCTTTGCCTTCGGCTAGTGACACCGTGAGAGTCTTCGTCCGGAAAACGCAAGAAAACTTCTTGAGCCTTGCGTAGAGCATCGTGCATCGGCGTTCTGCCGTACAGATACTGCTTAAGTGTTGATAATAGGCCATCTGCAGTGCAATCCGTTTCTGCACGTGCATCATTGAGGTCACAATCCTGTATGCGTTCCAGTAAAGCGATAACCTCTGTAATAGGTCGAGGCTCAAACTCTATAAAGCGATGCCACCAGTCATCCCAGATCCGGCGAGCAATGCTCAAAGCTTCTGAGCTATCGACTGCGTGATTCTCAATAGAGTCGGCGACGGAGTCGGCAGAGACGTTCCCAGCGAGCGCACCTACCACGATGCCGACAACAAAACCAGGTGGTCCTCCAGCGGCAAAGCCTGCTGCTGCACCGGCTAGCGTACCACCCACACCAGAAACTGTATGCGCCCTATCTCGAGCTTGGCGGTTTTCGTCTTCGGTTGGAATTGCCTCGATGAAATCATGGATTTGGTCCGGATATTGTTCCAAATGTCTGTGCAGGACTTCTGCTTCCTCATTCCTCAACTTAGACCGAATGTACTTTTCGATATACGCTCTGTTCTGCGAGTTTGCGATCTCGATAAGGCGGTCATGGCCACTTCGAGTGTCGCCGATTCTTCGGAGATCGAGGAAGGCTTCGATTATACGACAAAGGTCGACAACGGCTGGGCATCGCATTTCCTCGTTCAGACCAAAAATGCCAATAAACATTAGAGTTTCCCTTTGGTGAGCCCGTTCGACGCGGGCAAGTTCAAGTGTAGCACGAAGCACTGCGGCAAGCCGCTCCATGGGCGGCTTTCCTTGGTCCTCAACAACCATAGCCTCTTGCATAGACCCCGAGACATCAAGTAAACAACCGAGGATCGCCCTCGGCAAATAAGCGGACATGAGAGCTGAAAATGTGACGTGTTCAACTCAAAATGGTGAAGCAAATTGGGGATGAAAATGCGCTGGGTGCGACGCCGTCTGTTAAGAGCAAACGGAATTGTGTGAGGATAAATTTTAGTGACGAAATAGCTGCCTCTTGATCACTGTATTGAAGCGCTTTTGTTCAGGAATAAATAAAAGTTAAGAAAGTTTTGATCGCCACCAACAAATCGAGTGCTTCAGTAGGGCGCGGCGAGTGACTGAGCTGACGACGCCGACGTACTACGCATAGTGCCATATCAGTTTAGAACGACAGCCGTCACTCGGCCACTCAAGTATCTGATCACTGACGGCCCGCTCCTAGCCGCCAATGAAGATGAAGCCAGAGGTTGCCAACGACCTCTCTCGTGCGTTGGTGGCTGCATATGACAACATGGAGTGCATAAAGAAAAAAGAAAATCCCCCGTGCCAGCGCAGAAGGAGTAAGCAAGCTACGTGTCGGGTTATTTGCCAATTAGGTTAGAATAGATGCAAAGGTGATTTATTTATCTAGTCAACTAGACTATAATATATCGTGGTACGCCAAGGTCATTGAAGGCGCCTTTTTTTTATGTGAGTAGCGGAGTGCAAAACGAGTTACAGTAAAGGGTTGTTTTTTTTTTAGTGGCAATGTTAGTGCAGTGCTGCAGAGCTACTTGCTGGTACAACTCCAGTCACAGCGGCTAAAAATACGATCGCCTTCCCCACCTTGCTATTAAAACTCACTAAATGCGCCCGCGACACCCATTTCGGTTTTTATGGTAGCCGCCGATGCCAAAGTGGTAGTCATGTAGACAGAACGCCGGAAAGTGTCTCTACCTCACTGCTCATGTTTCAAACAGCGCCATCATCACCATGAGAGTCGCAGTAATTGGCGGTGGCCCTTCCGGCCTAGTTACATTGAAGTATCTGTGCGAGGCACACCGGTTTCTCGAGCGCGAGCGCGTTGAGGCGGTGTTATTCGAACACCAGACGCATGTAGGGGGCACATTTTTCGCCCGAGCCTACGAAGACGCCGAGGTTGGTTGGTCTATGGCCAGGCCATTAAGCGTGCTAACACAAGCTCGCAGCTAGTTTCCTCCCGACAGCTTACTTCCTTCTCCGACTTCCGCTGCAACATTGGAAAAGATTTCCTCACTGCACCCGAATACGTGAATTATTTGCACAAATACTGTGACCATTTCAGTCTCTGGCCGCACATCAAACTGAACGCAAAAGTGGTCTCTGTTAGGCGTGGAGGCGGCCGCCGGCATGTCATCACGTACCAGAAGGATGGAGCTTACTACAGTAGAGCTGCGACGCGGTCGCCGTGTGCTCTGGGCTGCATGTAGATCCCAATATTCCAGAAATCAAAGGGTTAGAGAACATACCACGCGCAATCCATTCCTCGAAGTTCAAGGAGCGCAAGCAGTTCGACGGCTACAAGACTGTGATGGTGGTAGGCTGCGGTGAAACTGGAGCGGATGTGGCTTATCTGGCCGCTACGCACCCAGACGTTGATCGAGTTGTCCTGTGCCACAAGGACGGTTTCTCTGCCTAATAGGCCCCATATCCCCGGACCACGCCTGAGGTTATATGCTCTACGGTCTGCTCTGGTACAGATTCCTGTGCCGGATACAAAGGGACGATGTGTTGATCTGGCGCCATGGCCATGCCGAATCCTGCCATCAGGAGTCACCAAGTTTGTGGACAACGAGCGGCCGGAATACCAAGGGCTACGAAACAGTCAGATCCGTCCGGATATGGTAGTTCTCTGCACGGGTTATAAACAGGGATTCGTTTTTTTCGATAGGCAATGCGACCAACCATATCCAACTCCTGAAAAAGCAGACGTGCGGCATATTTGGATGCGAACGGAGCCGTCTGTCAGCTTCATTGGTTTCGTGCGCCCCTCTCTCGGGGCCATACCACCTCTGGCGGAGATGCAGGCCCAACTCTGGATCACTCACTTATTTGCCAAACACAAGCTTCCTCGGGCGCTGCGTCCCGAAGACGAGCCACATTACCAGTTGCGCAGTGTGCCAGGAGCACGTATCCGGTACGGCGTAGACCACGAAAGCTATGTGTACCAGCTGGCCCTTGATATGGACGCTGCACCTGGTCTCGCAGACGTCATGTGCTTGGGCTCGCTGAGGCTGCTTCTTATCTGGACACTTGGTGCCAACTTCAACACCAAGTTTCGTCTCCGGGGCCCGTGGAAGTGGAAAGGCGGGTATGCTTTGCTAATTTCGGACGAGTTCTGGACCACAATCTCGAGGCGTCCAGTCATCTTCGGTGCGGTTCTTGGCAAGCTTGGCGTGTATTCAGGCTAACGTATGCTCAGGACATTTCGCGGTCTCCATACTCCCTATGCTAATCTTCGGGCCTGTTAACCTCGCCTGCTTCGTAGCAAGCTGCCTTTTCTCGATATTCCTCCATTGTGTGCCATAACCCCCATATTTACTGGTGGCCGGCAGCACAAGCTAAAGAGCTCCTTGGCGCTAGTTATAGCGATTGTCAATTCATACATGAAGCCAGGAGCCAAATTGGTACAGCACTATTACTTCCTCCCAACTGCCGAGC